CCAAACGCTTGGATTACAGGCATGCGCCACCACGCCCAGTCTCAGTTGTCATCTCAGTGCACCCTGGGTATTGAAACCTGGGCCCTGCGCCTGCCTAAGCAGTACTTTAATCTGCTGAGCTATCTGGCAGGCCCATATTATAATCCTTAAATCAAACTAGGGACATTTTATTTAGATCATCCTTATAATCTCTTTCTTGATTTTTTAAATCAGTCACTCCCCTCACAAGTGATTTTGTCCACCAGTGGTTATTTATTAATATCTAAAGGCCTTTTTATTTATTAAAACTGTGTGTTCTTCACACCTAGTAGGTAGTGGCCAGGCTTGCAATCCAGCACCCTATTAGGGGTAGGAAAATAAGCACACCTCAAAGAATAAATGCTGTAGTTTTAAATGTCAGTGGTGCAGGTATTGACAACCACAGGCTTTAGATGGTATGACTTACCACCAAAAGAGCTGATTTTAAAAAGTATAAGCAATGTTTCTTAAAAGTATAGCACTTGTGCATCTTATAAATGACAAATATATATTCTGTAAATGTGCAGAAATCTGCTACATGGTCTCTTTTATTATTTATTATTTTTTTCATTTTTATGTACTTGGTACAGGATCTCCTTACACAGCTTGGACTCATGGTGATCCTCCTGTTTTCAGCCTCCCCAGTACTGGGATTACAGGCATGCACCACCACACCCAGTCTCAGCTGCCAGCTCAGCATGCTCCTGGGCTGGGGCTGGAGCAGCATGCAGGACAGGGGATCAAACTCTGGTCCCCGCTCTTGCCAAAGCAGGCACTTAGTCCACTGAGCTGTCTCACTGGCCCTTGCTGCCCTGACTGTTAATGGTAACTACTGTGTGATCTTGTCTCTGTCCCTCAGAAACTTGTGTGGATACAGAATTATAAAGAACGTGGTCTTCCAACTCCAAGCTTACACAGTCTCCAGCTCACCTAGCTTGGCCTGTCATGACCCTCAGCAGCTTATAGATTTTCTCTCCCATGTTAAGTTAGAGAACTTAAGGAGTGGTTAAAACTGGCTGTCTAAGAATCATCCGGAGAAATGCTCCCATTAAATTATACACTGATTGAGCTGTGTGTTCTTAGCACGATATGGTTCCTTGAACACTTTCTTATTTCATCCCCAAAAGCTTTAATCAGGCAAGTGAGACCCAAAGATTTAGCTGTTCTATAGCCTACTGCTCATGAGTTCTCAGCAGGCAGTGTTTCTTTACATTATGTCCTTGTAAACCCCACCAGGTTAGTGTTTCTACTCCCTACGTATTTGAATATATGCCATGTCATGCTCCCTTTGCATGTGGCACTACTTCTTGTTCAGAGAACCCGTGGATGAATACACTCACTGCCCTCTGATCGCACATGAAGCATGCCAGCACCCAGGACTCAAATTTCAATTTGGGTTTGACTTCCGTAAGTGAGCTTTACTCTTTCGAGAAGTAAGCCTGCAGAAATAAAGAACAACTGTACTTGCAAAACAGACAAGATTGCAGGAAACCTGAAGCCTCCATACATGTTGCTACCTCTTTCTTGTTCTTGTCTGCCTCTTAATTATGCAGAAATTGGATCACTGCCTGGCAGGCAACCTGGGGTTGTCTGCGGGAGAATGCAAAGATAGGAGAAGACATATCAATCAGCCCTCGGGTGGAATGCTTGTAGTCATGATCCAAGTAACAACCCAGATGTTTAGTGCATTTACGTTCAATGCTGCTTTGTTTCATAATAGGATGCGCCCTGGTGGCATGATTGTTCCTTGATAGATCTGGATCTGATTTGTTTTTAATATTTTTTTATTCTTTATGCATTTAGTACAGAGTCTACAGGGTCTCACTACACAGCTTGGATTCGTACTGGTCATCCTGTTTTCAGCCTACCAAGCACTGGGTTTACAGGCATGTGCCACTATGCCCAGTCTTGGATGCCATCTCAGTGCACATCGGGGATAGAATTCCTGTCCCTGCACCTGCCTGTGCAGGTGCTTTAATCCACTGAGCTCTCTGGCCCGCCTTGCTTTAGTGTTTTACAAGATAACTTTTTAATATATTCAGGGCCACTGCTTAACTCAGTGAAACATACTCACGACCTAATGTAGAAATATTCGTGAAACACAATATACTGGTAAACAGTATATCTGTTTGTGAGTTGGAGAACATTATTTTCTCAGGTGTTTATTTGCAACACTGGATGAAATATTCTGTGTCCCTGTGGTCCCTAAAACTTCATTTACCATGCTATCTGCGGGTGCACAATATTCTTCTCTGCTTCAAGGACAGTGAGGTATCTGAGTCTGCTCAATCTGTGGCTAGACAAACGGAGGGGTGATCCTCCTAGTGTTCAATCCTCATGGGGTTGTTAGGAGGTGTCTTGGAAACTCTCTCGTGACTGAGATCAAGACCCCAACAGCCACAGCTCCAAGGTGGAAATGTTGTGCTGGGGAAACATGGTAGGAGAGAGCTGCTCACTTCACAGTAGCCAAGAAGCAGGGAGAGGAGATGATCTAGAGAAGGAGAGGCATCATGGGGGTCATTGCCCTAGGGACCAACCTCTGCTGATCATGCACCGAAGAGGGTAAGGAACCTCTGACTCATCCACCTTCCAAGCATTTCAGAACTTGGCAGGACAGTTTATTCTTTTATTCTTTAGGTTTTTGTCTTCCGGAGACAAGATCTTGTTCTGCATTTCAGGATGCCTGACCTTGAACTCACTTGGTAGCCAAGGCTGCCTTTGAACTCACAGGGGTCCTCCCGCCTCCGCCTCCAGAGTGCTGGGATTACAGGTGTGCACCACTGTACCGGGCTGGAAGGAGGTTTTAGAGCTAACCCATCACAGAGGGTAGTTCCAGTGTAACACCAGCTTTTTATAAGAATTGCAGCATCAGGAATGAACCACATGAGGCATTAAATAACATACTGATAGCAGGATCAATATGTTTAATCATGAGTGATGTCAACTGACCAAGTCGACAGAATCAGTTTGAAAGGTGCCATCTTATCTGCTGTTAAGGTACCAGCCTGAAATCGCAGCTACGAGGGAGGCTGAGGCAGGAAGATCTCCAATTTCAGTCTAGTTTGGGCAGCATAGCAAGACCTTACCTCAGAAATAAATTAAGAAGGAAATGTCCTATCTTACTGAGGCTCCTTTTTCAAAGCTGAGACTTATCACAACAAAATGTACTATCAAAAAGAAAAAAAATGTACTATCTACACATTAAAGTGAATAGACCAATGTGAATTAATACCCCAAACTTCTGTGCTTCCCAACTGATGCCCATTCTGCTCTATCTGATGGGTATTCACACCTCAAGAAATCCAGGTTGGCCATAACCATTAGATGAATCTTAATGGACCTGTGTATATCTCTTAGGGAAAAATGATAAATCCTTTTTTAAAAAAAAATTATTTTTTTCAACATTTTATTTATTTATTGTATTTCAGGGAAGAGTGTACAGGGTGTTCGGGGTCTCACTGCTAGATCACACTCCCAGTGAACCACCTGTTCACATCCTCCCAAGAGCTGGGATTACAGGCATGCGCCACCAGGCCCAGTCTCCATTCCCATCTCAGCTCTCCCCAGGGGCAGTGCCGGCACGGCAGGCCCTGGGATCAAACCCCCGGCCACTGCGACTGCTTGCACAGCTTTAACTGCCGAGATATTTGACCAGCCTTTCCTTTTTTCTTTTCTTTAAAATTTCTTATAACTTTTTATTTAGCCAGTTGTGCAGGTTTACATCTGATAACCTAAACAACTACTCGGAGATAACAACATGAAGTACAGCAACCACTGCTGAATTCCTACTACTTCATTTAAGGGAATTTTGTAATGGGTCTAATTTTTTTTTAACTATTTTGTATTTTTAAAAGACAATAAAAGATACAAAATTTTCCTAAACAAAATTATAGGAATTCAACAAAGGTTGTTCTGTTGCACAATTTTGTCTTTACATTAGTTGCTCAGATTATCACAGTTTAGCATGCAAAATTGGTAAAATAAAAAAAGTTGTAAGAAATTAAACAAGAGAAGAGAAAATAATTAAGCATTACTTGTGCCTCTCAATAGAGTGGGAGAAATTATCGAAGCCATCCTGTGTATATGCTTATTTTTTTTCCTTCTCTCTCTCTCTCTCTCTCTCTCTCTCTCTCTTTCTTTTTTCTTTCTTCTTTCTTTCTTCTCCTTTCCTTCATCCAAGTATTCCTTCCCTTTGAGCAGTTCCTTTCTCTTTCACAGTATCCACTGCGCCTTTCAGATTTTATTTACTCTTTCAGGTTCTTACGGTAGCGAGACAATATGATGCTCATACGTGAGAGTCTGATTTACTCCATTTCCTTGAATATTCCAGAAACATTATTTCTGGTGGTTCTATCTCTGGATTGACCAATGTCATGGACTATAGTAAGTTGTGGTGGATGTTTACAATTATCAGTGGGGAATGTGTACCTTTTTGTAATCCATTGAACAAGACCTTGTGGTGTATTTTCTTAAATGATGAGCACTGGACATAGATACGGGCTGAGCAGAAAAGCGCCTAAGGTGCTTGCTGTCTTCTGCTAACATTCACCATCAGGCATGAGTTTCTGGAAAGTTCTTGCTATCTGCAAGGCCCAGTGAGCCAGTGATCAAAGTCCGGGCTGCTTCGGCTTCATGATGTCTGTCTCTTTTTCTTTCTCTCTAGGCTGTTTTGGAGCTTTTATAAAGAGCTCTTGTCCCCTGGAGAGGTTTGCTTACTTCCCGAGAACTGCACCTGGTGGATTCTGGCTGCGGGCTTGCAGAGGAGCCATCCCTCACCATGCATTGCCAAGCGAAGCGCCACTCTTCCTCCTAACATGAGCTTCAGTCTGTGAGCAGTCGGACAGCCGTCCTCCACCTCGTGCTCCATACCTCCTGGCTCTTCTACTCCCCGGACCTCCCTCTGTCCTCGGTGTCTGGCCTCACCCACGGCTTTGCCTCCTCGGAGTCCTCTCCCTCAGAGCCTGCGGATGTGGAAGAGAACCATGTCGAGGCCCAAGGGACTCTTATGGGTCCCACTGTTCTGCACGCCCGTGTGCGTCATGGTCAACTCCAACGTTCTCCTGTGGATAACCGCGCTGGCCATCAAATTCACTCTAATCGACAGCCAGGCCCAGTACCCGGTTGTCAACACAAATTATGGCAAAATCCGGGGCCTAAGAACACCACTGCCCAATGAGATTTTGGGTCCCGTGGAGCAATACTTGGGGGTGCCCTATGCCTCGCCTCCCACAGGGGAGAGACGGTTTCAACCTCCCGAACCCCCATCCTCATGGACAGGGGTACGAAACGCTACTCAGTTTGCAGGTGTGTGTCCCCAACATCTGGACGAGAGATCTTTATTGCATGACATGTTGCCCATCTGGTTCACAGCCAATCTGGATACTCTGATGACATACGTACAAGACCAGAACGAAGACTGCCTGTATTTAAACATCTACGTCCCCACGGAAGATGGTAAGTGCTGTCCTGAAGCAGAACAGGGCTATCATGGTCTTTCTGAGTTGCAGGCAGATTCGCCATGTAGCTTGTGTAACACCGCACGCACGGTGGTGTTATCCTTCATTTCTTTGTCTATCTTTTCTTTATCTCATGTTGGATTCTAACTCCCAAAGAGGTATCACCAAAACATAAAGGATCTTGATGCTGAGGAAGAGAGCCAGAGTTTTATTAAGCCTTGAAAGGAAAGGCAGTTATTCTGTTAAAAATCCCAAAGAAATATTGGAAAACAGTAACTGCATTCTATTATTTTGAATCCAGGCTGTGAAAAGAAAATTTGCTGTTATTTTATTTTAATGTTCATGTTGATCAAATGGCAGAGATGTAGTTAGAAGAGGCCACCTGCATCTGCTTACAAAAGCACACCTTTCGCTTTTTTTTTATTAAGTAGCAATAAAAATCTTTTTAAAAATATCAGAACATTCCTTTAATCTGAAGCACAGCAATTTGTACATCTTCATGTACAACAATTTCAAGTTCAAATATTTCATAGAGCCGTGATGAACAATGTCACATTTCTCAGTGCCTTCTAAGGCCTGTCGTTTTTAGATAAGGAGAAAGAGTGAAAACTCACGGAAACTTAAGCCAGTCAGTCGTGGTCATGAGAGCGTTTGCTACCATGGAAACTCAAGTGTGGTCTTTGCATTTTGTTCAGAATACGTTTTACCCCATGTCTCTCTTTTGTCATATAATCCATGGGCAATGTTTTCCAGTTAGATTTGGCTGAAGCCTGCAATAGGAGATTGCATTTATTTCATGATTCCCCACGTTGCATGACTCTTGTCCTATTTGTTCTTTCTCCACTGAAGCGCCGAATGCAAAGTCTAAGCAGGATGCCAGGAAAAAGACAGACAGAGGCTGGGTGTTGTTGGTATTGCAGAGGAAAACCCGTAGAAAGAAATTAAAGGGGCTTGCTTCCTTATCTGTCTGGTGACTGGCATGCTGCCCTGAGGTTATGGTGGCGGAACACACAATCATCTTGTACACTCCAGATCTTAGCGTGATTCAGAAGTTCAGGGGATTTCCGATGCTCTCTTTCTGAGCAGTTTGCCAAGCTCCCGGGCTGCAGAGCAGTGGCCGAGTTGTCGCTTTGTCCTCCTTCTAGAAAAGGAGGGAGAGCAGTCACAACCAATTAGAGTCCTCATTTGGGAGGCCACCGGGGTTGTGTTCGTCTCAGCCATGCACGGGGGCACCACGAAGCAGAAAGGACAGGAGCTAGCAGGGTGGGGAAGGGATTCAGCCAAAACTGGAGCAGAGACTGCACCTGCTGTCCTAACACATGGGCTGTGTTGCTTTTGTTTCTGTGTTTGCGGTCGCGTAGCGCCGGCCTCAGAAATGAGGGAGACTGTTCAGATGGAATGTGCACCTGCTAGTGCAGAGACCTGCGCAGCAGACCACCGGGGAGGAAAGCTCAGCAGCCGGCTGACCAGCGCAGCTGGGTGGGGGACACCTGTGCAGAACCCATTTCCCCATTTCCTTTCCATGCAGTATGTAACTGGAACCTGGGACGATTAAAAAAAAAAAAAAAGTGAACGGAACGATCTAATGAGAAAGAAAAAGCAGTATCAATTAAAGAACAACCCCATGTTCACTTGTTTTGTGCTCCTTTGGCTTGACAAGGCAATCCGCACATGGGCTTTTGAGGAGCAAATCTGAAATCTAGCAGAACTGATCTCCCTGTAAAATAGTTGGGCCAAAATTGGGATTTCTTGGAAGGGGCTCAAAGATATATATATATATTTGCACAAGAAAACACCCATCTAACTATTACATCAGTAATTTAATGTGATTTTTCTCCTCCTTCATTATACCAACTCAACAATGAAAGAGGCTTTTAAGTGTTAAATAGTGATTACTCACTAACTGAATAAATGAACGGATGGAAAAACAAAACACATGGGAATTTTGTAGTAACAGCAGCGTTTGTGTTTGTACTGACTGAATGTCACAATAGTGACCAAGGTCTAGGAATGCAGGGTATGTAGAACTCACAATTTCACCTTAATACTGTTGCTTCTATGTTTTGTGCCTGGATCCATTTGGTTCAAATATTTCCATGTGAGAGGAAGGTATATTAAAAATGAAAATATACTTTATTCAGTTAGGTATGTAACAGTAAATTACATAACTTGTTTGAGGAAACTTGTTGAACATATTTAAACATTTTTTAGCAATGTATATTTTATTGCTGGCCGAATAGCTCAGAGGATTAAAGCGCCTGCAAGCAGATACAGGGGTCAGGGATTCGATCTTTGGGCCTGCCATTGCCAGCCCTGGCCCCGGGGCACGCTGAG